GGGGGGTGCTCCCTTCCACTTAGGCCCGCCGACGCCCCGGCTATGCTGCTGCCTCTGCTCTGGTGGAGAGCCGTGCGCTGAGGCTGCTCCCACCCGCAGCCATCTCATCTGCGTCCCTCCCCGGCCCGCCCCTGTCCACCGCGCCGCGCCCCGCTCCGCCACGCTGTCATGACGGGAAATCGATTTGATGATTTGTGCGAGGCGAGTGCGCGGCGGCGGTGGTGCCGGGCCGGCAGGGCGGGCGGGGCCAGTCCGGGTGGGGCTGCCCGCCCCGCCCCGCCCCGCCGTGGGGCTGGAGCAGCAGCGGGGAAGGAAGCGACGAGCAGGGCCGCTTTGTCACCCTGGCGGTGCGCGGGCGAGGCGGGAGGCGGGGGTGGAAGGGCGGGTGGCACGCCTCCCCCACCGCCGCCGCCGCCGCAGCCCCAGCGCCCTGAGCTAACGACCGAGGGCACAGCTCACCGCGGAGTAATGAAAAACTGTGCTGTGCCTGGCCTGGCGCCCGGTGTGTTCTGGCGCGTCCTCGCCCCTGCTGTGCCGCAGCCAACGGCAGGGACCTCCTCCTGGAACTGCCTCTCCTCACTCTCTCCCCCGCACGACCGTCACGGCCGGTACACAACTGCATATACTTGTCCAAGTGCATCCCCGCCGGGCCCGGGGAATCACGTAAGCCTGGCCCTTCTGAGTCAGGGGGCGCTCCCCGATGTTCGGAGCGGGGAGGGAGGGACTCTACGGACACCGGAAGACCGTGCCCGTCACGAAATGGTCGCTGGAGGAGAGTCTGCTGAAGACAATGCAACACTGCACATATCGAGAAATGGTGTGAACTCACTCACCGCCGCGAGTTTCAGTCGGTCGGCCGATGAGGAACCCCGTGGTGTATCTGCTCCACCGCATGCACGCGTGTATGCGGGTTGCCTACTCGCTGGGCGGCGTGAGGCGGTTGCCGTAAAACCAAACCTTGCCGTCAGTGTAGTAACAACACAGGCAAATCCCACGGGGTTTTTCAGCTGCCTGCCGCCTGGCGTTTCCATTTCCGACACTTCGTTTACGGGACGCGGACCGAGTTCTGATCCTCCAGGGACTTTGCCCTTTCCGCCCTGCCGCCGCCGCGCTCCGCTCGCTGCCACTGGAAGGCGCGCGCTGCTCGTGCAGATTGCTTGCTGCCGCGAGTAGAGTTTTGTGGCTCGTAAACGGCTTTTAGTGTCGCAGCGGATGCACGCCGGTGGCACCGCAGTCCTGGGCCGGGCCGGGCCAGGCGTAGAGGCCCTGTTCTTTACCGCTTCATCGCCATCACCATCATCTTCGCGGGGTAGGAGAGGCGGATGGGGTTAACTGCGAAGCTGGGATTGCTAACTACGTATCTTCTCGCGCAATCATCCCTTATCCACTTTGCGACGTTAGGGCGCGCGGCCGGCCGAGGTCGTTTGCAAAGAGAGAGAGGAGGGGGGGGGGAGGAGGGGGTACTACTCAGGTGACCGTGACCTTGGAGACGCGCTCAGCCTCAGCTTGAATACAGTCAGTGTCGAAAGCTTGTCGAACTCGACTGACCCGGCGTGGCCCCGCGCCTCCTAGTGCTTCTTCCCGGGCCGCTGCCGATGGAAGGGACTGTACACTCCTCAGGTG